ATTATTCAAGTTGGTTGAAAAACAAATGTATCCTAAGAACCACCATGAATCAATATATCATCAATAACATCATAAAGAAGGTGTTATACTAACAAAGAAGGTGTTATACTAACAACCTATGTTTGATATGTTAAACCAAAGTTCATTGTCTACCATTTTCGATTCGGACATATCATCGGACATATAAACGAGCCCTGATTATCACACAGAGACACGACAAATAAAATTAAACACACCATAATTTTCAGCTTACATACCCAGAACCCGGCAGCTTGCGGCGGAGTTGAAGCCCGACGAACACGTCACAACTGAGACCTAGAAAACAACGAAATTGTTTAATTAATATTGCAAACATTAGCAACGAAAGAAAAAAAAAAATTGTATAAATCGCAGAAGGAATCGATGAATTGGTAGTCGAATTCATGTCCAACCAACCGTCGAGCAACGCGAACCAAGTGACACCTGCGAGTGAAAGATTCATTAACGGTGAGAACTGATGAAAAAAAAAAAAATTATATGCGAAGAACTCTAATGAAGATGCAGAAGAGACGGCTTACGGCGGAGACGACGAGATTAGGGCTGGCAAGACGAGGGTTTCGGACAAGAACACAGTATATATCTGGCTATATCTGTAATTTTGATGACAATTAGGGGCAAAATAGACTTTTCAAGTGGAATATTGAGGTTAAAATGGGAAGGATGAAAAGGGGATTGTTTTGTCCGCCCAAAATCGGCGGACAAAATTAACAACGCACGTCAGCTTACCCACTTGCCAACCGCGCGCCACGTATGCACAATCCGTATCCCTTCCCAGCCTAGTAAACGGATGATAAGGTTGGTTAACCAACCTTATCATATCCCGTCCGCGCTAGTAAACGAGCCCTAAATGTACAAGTAGAACCCATTTTCTCTATTTTAAATGTCAACCTATCCATTTATTGAAACACCTAAGTCCCACAAGTCTTGTCAATTAAATGAATGTCCGCATTGATGTTAGTGGCTCTTGCATCTATTTAAATGACAATTAAACGGGCCGATGCGGGCATCAAAGTCCATTTAAATAACATTTGGTTCATTCAAACAAATGTGTCAAAACACAACCTTTTTTTTTTACAAGAAAATAAATTTTAAATAAATAAGAACATTCGTGTCGACGGTCGATCGCCAACAACTACGATTGATATAAATTGGACGATTAAATTAGGGTTTTCTCAAAATAATAAATACGATTGTGCGAAAAAAAAAAGAATAAGAGCGTTAAAAATAAAGAGTCACATATGTCGTCAATTTGTTGTGGAGATCGATGTGGAGAGTGAACTCTCCGATAAATGTTTAATGAAAATATTCGATGCTGTTATTTTTTGTGTGTATTTGCTGTGTTTTGATGATTGAAAAATTTGGCGGTTTTGATCATGATATGTTAGGAACAAAGGGGTCAAATTATACAAAAAAAACGTAAAGAAGCAATAAATATTTGGTGTCAGCTAGGGGCGTAGAGTGACACCTCATGTATCATGCAAAACTCTTATTTTGAGGATGAGACAACTTGGGCCGTGCCTTTATCTTTATTGACTCGGCATTCATACATATGAGAGATCATCAATCTTTCACAAGATGATACATGGAGAGGTCGACAAGAATATGTATATGCCGATCAGGGGGTCGACATATTCGATCAACGTTGCTTCCTCGGCCGTTCACAAGTTGTATGGGCCATTTGTGTTTTGTACTTTGTATAAACCTAATTTATTCATCTGATTTTGTCTTTAGCGGGCAGTACTAGATCTTGAATATTTGGGTACAACAATTCGAAATGCAAATCTAGAAAAAACTAGGCAACTCAAAATAAATTTAAGTTCTTCAATAAAACGTATTGTTTTATAATTAATATGAAATTCATAACTATAAAAATTTAATTAATATTAAAAGGAATGAACAAATTTTTGGATAATTTAGAAGCTATATTAAATAAAAAAATATGGACCACCGGAATTGCTAGAATACATAATATTGTCAATATTAAGGTTAAGGCTATTAATTCATGGGAAGATTCTACAGTCCCGTTACAAAATCATTCCGTCGAGATTTGCAACCGTTAGATCGACTATGCACGACGGTTACATGATCATTTAACGGTTACAAATCCTGACGGAATAGTTCGTAACGGGACTGTAGCATTTCTCTAACTCATGATTCCTCTAAAATTATTATTTGTTTGAATGGAAGAAAAAAAAAAAAAAAAAGAGAAAAAAATAGGAAGGTCAAGTAGAAAAATGGAACCCTAAAAACCTAAAAATTTTGTGGCCGTTGTTGTTCTTTTCCCCCCATAAAAATCTCGAACTCACACTTTTGGCCGCCATCAAAATTCCCAAAGCTCTCTCCTTTCAAATTTCAAATTTTGAAACTCCAATTTATAGCCGTTTTCTCTCTCTATCTCTTTTTCATATATATCCCTTTCATCTCCAACCCCACAGGCCCACACCCAAAACTCACCTTGATTCTCCATCTCCATTTTTTTCTCTCTCCACCCCTCTCTCTATCTCTGTGTGTGTTCATCCAAAAGCGAACGAGAAAAACAAACAAAACCCCAAAAAAATTCAACTCCAAAATGCGTGAGATTCTCCACATTCAGGGCGGCCAGTGCGGAAACCAGATCGGCTCCAAATTCTGGGAGGTCGTGTGCGCCGAGCACGGCATCGACGCCACAGGCCGCTATCATGGCGACTCGGAACTCCAGCTCGAGAGGGTCAACGTCTACTACAACGAGGCCAGCGGCGGCCGATTTGTCCCCCGTGCGGTGCTCATGGACCTCGAGCCCGGGGTCATGGACAGCCTCCGATCCGGGCCCTACGGCCAGATCTTCAGGCCCGATAATTTCGTGTTCGGGCAGTCTGGGGCCGGGAACAATTGGGCGAAAGGGCACTATACGGAGGGTGCCGAGCTGATTGATTCGGTCCTCGATGTTGTCAGGAAGGAGGCCGAGAACTGCGATTGCCTGCAAGGTATTTGATGAAATTTCCCTGTGGGTGTTGTTCTTTGATTGTAATGTATCGGATGATTAATGGTTTGTCTGTGCTGCTCTGGAAAGTTTATCGGATGATGACTGGCTTTGTTTTGTTATTGAAATTTGATTTGTGCGGTGCTGTGATTTGATTAATTGTTGGGAGTGACTGTTACTCCGTTAATCCAATTGTGTGTTTGGCCTTTTTTCTTTCCCCGACTCCCATTGCGCGAAGTTTGCTCTGGAGAACTTGTTTGAATATACATGTTAGGAGCTTGATTTATGTGGAGCTGTTGTTTGAATTTTGATTAATTGTTGGGAGTGATTGTTATCCTATAATCCATTTGTGTATTTGGCCATTTTTCATTCCCTAAAATTTGTGAATTTCACTATTTTCCCCTAATTCTCCTTATGCGTAGTTTGCACAAGAGAACTCGTTTGAATATGCATGTTAATTGGAGCTTGATTTATGTGGAGCTGTGTTTTGATCAATTGTTGGTAGTTTCTGTGTGTTCTCACATAATTCAATTGTGTGGGTTGATTAATTGTTGCGGGGTCTGTGTGTGCTCACATAATTAGATTATGTGTTTAGCCTTTTTTCTCCCCATAAAGTTTTGTACTTTACTAATTTTTACCTAATTCTCCTTACACATAGTTAGCTCTGGAGAACTTTTTTTTTGAATATACATGTAAATGTCGATGCATTTGTGTTCTTACATGCGATAATTATAAGCGTTGTGCAGGTTTTCAAGTGTGCCATTCATTGGGAGGTGGGACTGGGTCCGGGATGGGTACCTTGTTGATCTCGAAAATAAGAGAGGAATATCCGGACAGGATGATGCTCACATTCTCGGTTTTCCCATCGCCCAAAGTTTCCGACACAGTCGTGGAGCCTTATAATGCAACATTATCCGTTCATCAGCTTGTTGAGAATGCAGATGAGTGTATGGTTCTTGATAATGAGGCCCTTTACGACATTTGCTTCAGGACACTTAAGCTCACAACTCCTAGCTGTAAGTCTCCTTAATTCTATTCCTTCTGTTAAAGTCTTTCTTGTGCAGTGATTTGAAACTAAATATTGCCAATAATAATCCTTATCATGCTTGATGCTTCGTCCATGGCCTGTAGTATTTTTTAACATGTTTTGTGGATTGTGCTATGCTTTTCAAGTGGATTTTGCAAATGATGCTCAAACTTTGACATATATCATCAATGGTAATTCATGTAGTGAAAAAATCGAGCAATCCTCATCACGAAAATGCAGGAATTTATCGGAACGAGCCATTTTTCTAAATGTTTTGCGGATGATGCTCAAATTATCTATCTCTTCTCTCCCCTTTCAAGTTTTCTAGAAATTATGACACACATATCATCGATGGCAATTCATGTAGTGAAAAAAAAATAAGATTGAGCAATCCCCATCACCAAAATGCATGAATTTATCGAATTATCTTCTAAACAACAACCCGTTTTTGCTGATTTTATTTTATTTTATTTTATTTTCTTTTTTTGCGTTCTTACAACACAGTTGGTGACTTGAACCACCTGATCTCGGCCACCATGTCCGGTGTCACTTGCTGCCTCCGATTCCCTGGCCAACTCAACTCTGACCTCCGAAAGCTCGCCGTGAACCTAATCCCATTCCCCCGACTCCACTTCTTCATGGTGGGCTTCGCCCCACTCACATCCCGTGGGTCCCAACAGTACCGATCCCTAACAGTCCCCGAGCTAACCCAACAGATGTGGGACGCAAAAAACATGATGTGTGCAGCCGATCCACGACACGGCCGTTACTTAACGGCCTCGGCAATTTATCGGGGCAAAATGAGCACTAAGGAAGTAGACGAGCAGATGCTGAACGTGCAGAACAAGAACTCGTCTTATTTTGTCGAGTGGATTCCGAACAACGTGAAGTCCACTGTTTGTGATATACCGCCGATCGGGCTCAAGATGGCCTCGACTTTCGTGGGGAACTCGACGTCGATTCAGGAGATGTTTCGGAGGGTGAGCGAGCAGTTCACCGCTATGTTTAGGAGGAAGGCGTTTTTGCATTGGTATACGGGGGAAGGTATGGATGAGATGGAGTTTACGGAGGCTGAGAGTAATATGAATGATTTGGTGGCCGAGTATCAGCAGTATCAGGAGGCGACTGCTGACGAGGAAGGAGAGTATG